GGGGTGGGGGGAGTGGGGAGGGATAGCATTAGGAGATATACCTAATGTAAATGATGAGTTAATGGGTGCAGCACACCAACATGGCACATGTACACATATGTAACAAACCTGCACGTTGTGCACATGTACCCTAGAACATAAAGTATAATAAAAAAATTACAATTCACTGAAGGTTTAAACGATTGTTAGCATTTTATAGCAATAAAGTATTTTAAAAATTAACAAAAAAGAATATTTTAAGATTAACAAGTATTAATTATAATTAATTTCATTACTTTTCCTAAATCTCCTTATTTCCTAAAATTCCTACATACAATTTTATATGGTTTCTTACATCATTATAGTCAGAGGCCATCAGATTTTCTTCAGTGTTCCATATGCCCATAAAAAAGAAAAGTCACAAAATATTATTCATTTAACATTGTTTGCTTTACCAAGAAGTTAACTACAACATGTATTTCATTGAACAGGAATATCTGCATAAACACATTATTTTTTGACCACACGTTTAATACAAAGTACAACAGGGCAAGTGTCCTAAAGATTAGCTAACATAACTGAACAGTAATTAAAGGCTGTAAGTCTAATATTTTTTATAATTTGATATTATTTTATACAAATGAAGATACTCATAGCACATGATCAAGCACTGTAACTCCTACATAGACAATGTTCACAGCAGCATTGTTTCAACAGCAAAAACAAAAATAAATAAAACTCAAATGTCCATCAACAGAAGCATTCATGTAATACTATACAGCAATAAAAATGAAAGCCACAAAAGTAAACATTATGCCATCTATACAAAACTGAGAAACATACAAAATTAACATTTCATTTAGAGATACCTATGTACAAAGCAAATGACCAACACAAATTTCCAAATAATTACTTGAGAGGGACAGGGTTCTTATGGGACGTCTAAAGTGTAAGCAATATTCTAGATCTTAAGCTGGCTGATGAGTACACAGATATTCATATTTGTTATCCCTTTGCCTTATAAGTACATGTTTATGTATTTTGGCAGTACATAATACTTCATTTTTTTTAAAAAAACAGTAAAAATGTGAAAGACTTCAAAAAATGAAGACTACCATTTATGTATAACAATAAAATTATTGTAAAAAAGTATACAAAGAAAATGCTGAGTTCTTCCAGTGCCCTATATAATCAGTATTAATAATTTAAAGGGCGATAATCCCAGTATGAAAAAAATGACAAGCTTTGACACAAAATCTGAACATCTGCTTTCCTGGCACTCTAAGTTAGACAAGGGTGAATATGTTAGCCACTCAATTCTGCCTCTTCATCTTTCATCTGTATTTAGATTTTTCTTTATCTTTGGATTTCTTTGGACTTCTGCCTCAGTCCCTTTTTACTCCTTTCTCTTTCGTAAAGATGTCTGGTATTTGGATTTGTGACTATTACTATAATGGCCATTCCTCTCTCGAGATCAGCTACGACTTTGGTTCTGAGTTCAGTCTCTCTTTTTACTCTTTCATTTCTCCCAACAGCTTTCTTCTTCTTCATAGTGACCAAACTCCAAACTTTCTCTATAATTATCTGGATTAGTATTTTTGATAGGTATGCAGTCTTCATCTTCTTTTTCTTCAGAACAGTGATGGGTTTTCTTCTTGTGTTTTTTACTTGTAAGTGAGTGACTTGACTTTGAGTCTTCTGCCTGCTCATCTAATACAACAGCATATTTTGCCTCCTGTTTGGGCTTTATCTTTCAGAACCAAATTAGATGGTTTATTCTGTTCCTTTTTATACTCCTTTAAATCACTCTTGTTGTACTTCCCACCTTTTCCTTCCATTTAACCTTTGTAGCAGACTGGCTAAAATCCATGTTTTCTTCTGTCCATTTTTAAGAACGCTTTCTCACAGTCTTCTTCCTTCTCAAATTCAATAAAAGCATACATCTGTAATCCCAGCACTTTGGGAGGCCGAGGCAGGTGAATCACTTGAGGTCAGGAGTTCAAGACCAGCCTGGCCAACATGGCAAAACCCTGTCGCTACTAAAAATACAAAAATTAGCCCGGTGTGGCGGTGCACGCCTGTAGTCCCAGCTACTTGGGAGGCCAGGTGGGGAGAATCACTTGAACCCAGGAGGTAGAGGCTGCAGTGAGCCAAGATCACGCCACTGCACTCCAGCTTAGGCAACAGAGTGAGACTCCATCTCAAAAGAAAGAAAAAAGAAAAGAAAAGAAAAAGACAAGACAGAAAGAAAGAAAAAGAAAAGCATAACAGAGGGTTTCTCCTGTCTTCCAGTCCCAGATAACTTCACAACTTCTTATTGGCCCAAATCTAGAGAGTATTATATCCAGATCCTCATCTGTACTCACTGGATTCAATTTACAAACACAGCAGATTTTTCTGGAGGTTTAATATCTGCATCAGGTAGGTCTCCTACCATTCTAAAAGTAAAGCCTGAGTTTTAGCTTCTTTTTCTGCCTTTATTTCTTCTACTTCTTCAGCTGACCTTCCTTTGAAATGATCAATTTCTTCATCTGCATCAATTCTACCACTCTTTAATTGTTCCCTTGTAGGTTCTGGTGATAGATCAGGCATTAATAAATGAGGAGCGCCATCAAAACGGATCACCTAAAATCACTGTATAATTTATCCTGATATCCTGATATGGTACAAAGTCCTTGTCAACAAAGGTCTCATTAATTTTCTTAATTATGTCAATGCCTTCTGTCACCTCACCAAATACTGTATGGTAACATCAAGGTAATCTAGATTTTCTCCTGTAGTGATAAGAAACTGAGATCCCTGTTGATCACTGCCATTATTCACCAAGGACATTGTGCCTTTCTTCTTGTGTTTAACTCTTGGGACGTTTTCTGTCTCAAAAAAGCTCGCTTGATCACCATACAATTGGCCAAAAATAGACTCTCCTCCATGACCAGTCCCTATAGGATCAACAGTTTGTATGATAAAATCCCTTTGTACACTGTGAATAAGGCAATAATTGTAATATTTTATTTTGTACAATCTCAAGAAATTAAAGCAGGCGAGTACCTTCTAGATGCTTGGCACTGCCATCACAAATGTCCTTAAACCGTGGTACCTGCTCTCAAAAAGTTCACAGTTGCAAGGCTGCTGCTCAGTGTACAAATCAACAACACATTGCTCAAAGTAGTCTCCAGTAGAACCACCATGGCACCCACTCCTCCTCGGCTATAAACCCTGGGGAGGTTGCTAATACTTCTTTAAGGCAAAAACAAAAAGTCGATAGAAACTGAAAATAGGTAAAGTCTGATTATAAGAAAGAAAAATAGGGCCAGACCCAGTGGCTCACACTTGTAATCCCAGCATTTTGAGAGGCCAAGGCAGGCGGATCACTTGAGGCCAGGAGTTCGAAAGCCCATCTCTACTAAAAATACAAAAAAATTAGCCAGGTGTGGTAGCACATTCCTGTGGTTCCAGCTATTTGGGAGGCTGAGGCAGAAGAATCACTTCAACCCAGGAGGCAGAGGTTGCAGTGAGCCAAGATCGTGCCACTGTGCTCCAGCCTGGGCAACACAGAGAGACACTGCCAGAAAGACAGACAGAAAGAAAAAGAAAGAAGAAAAGAAAGAAAAATGGGTCACTGTGCATTCAACAACCAAGGTTTCAGGTAAATGGTGACACAACACATGAAAAGTTTGTCACTTCCCATTCTAGCTCAGCAATAGCAGATATTCAGCCAAAGTCAAGTCCTCCTTATCTCAACAGCTTCACAAGGCATCACTGCCCAAGATTACTACACAACATTATTACTACATATTACTACATTACTACACAAGAAGCCACATCCAACAATACAGTTCAGACTTCTGCACTAATGTATATGTGTGCAGAGAAAGAAAGGGCCAGTGACATCATCCAAGGCCAAACTATAGTATAATATTATAATATGTACAGGCAGCAAGATACATTAGATCTAAGCATGTTATGGAAACCATAGAATGAAACGATTAATATTTTAAGCTTCATCTAATGAAAGAAAGATTAATATTTTAAGCTTCATCTAATGCCACAAATAAACACAGTGGCAACTTCAAAACAGAACACCAGAAAAAGCCCAAGCTAACTTAGAAATAAACAATTCATATATAAAATCGAAAGCTCAGTGAGAATAGTATATTTCTGAACAAGGATAATAGTATATTTCTGAACAAGGAAAATCAGCTAAGAATTTGACCCACTTTTTGTTACCCAAAAAGATAAAAAGTGAGCAAATGCAATTGCCTGAATGCGTTTCTTTCTTCTTTTAAAGAAGAGGTCACTCTGGAATGTAAAGTATTAATAAACCTTTAATATATACTTTTTAAGCTATATGATCAAAATATTGCAGAACACTGTAGCTTTTTTCAAGAATCTAATTTCTAAGCACAGTCTAAATCCTCACTTCTGCAATACTAATGAAACTGCATTTAGCAATGTTTGCCAATACCAGTTTAGTTAAGTCCTAGATACTTAAATGATCTGACTTAAAGCAGAAAGAGGACAGCTGATTGATTCTTTTAGGGGCAAAGTGTCAGAGTAACTCCAAGAATACTTTAGAAGAAATAAAATTGCACTTACGGAACTTCAAAAGATATTATAAATATATTTTGTTTATAATGAGCTAATATATAATCCAATCTATATTTTACTATGGTATTTTTGTACCTTCATGGAAAGATCACTTCACAAGTTTGTATGAGGAATAGTAAAGTTTCCATATGGCTAGACTTGATGTAACCCTGAGCCACTGAGTCCTGTTTTTATTGTCTTCTAAGATACCAGCATTACACTTCACTAATTCAATGTATAACTGATATATTTAACTAGAAAAGTAAATATAATTACAGAAGAAATGTTATGAGAAACTTTATCCATCACAAAGACTCTATATAATACTTTTAATCTCCTAACAACAAATACAATTTCTAATATTACTTATAAAAGAAAATCATTTCCACATTAACTACTATGCAGAACTTACAGAAAGCACAAATGACACTGAAAAAAATGTCAAAACACCCTGGAAGAAATTATGAAAATAGAGATTAAAATTTCTTTTCTATATTATATCAACAAACCTAAAAGAAGTAAAGAAGTGAAACAGCCAAGTAGATATAAACAAAACTTTTTAAGGTAGTGTGCCTTGCTTTGCCATGACAGTGTTGTATAAAAAGATACTATGTTGAATATTGCTAAAATATCAAAGGATGATAAATGTAGAGAATCATAATGATGGGGCTGAAGGTAGCCATATACTACATTATAAATGGGCAGATTTTTAAAAGTTTACACTGCCAAATATGAATATACAAAAAGGAGACCTTATTCTACTCAGATTTTGAAATGCCAAGTGAACGGAAGTTTTTAAAAATCAAATGCTAAATTCTGTCTAAACAAAGTGATAGGTCCTTTAGGGACCAAAGGGAAGGCCCAATGATGGCATACTTACTGGGGATACTTGCAGCTATTTTAAGTTCCATGCACACTAGGGTCTAGTCCCATTTAGCTTTCTCTTCTTCCTTCACCGCCCCAAAGCTATATTTAGCCTTTCTATGACTTAACTGTATAAGCAGTGGGATAATACATTGTGCATACTTTCCTGCCCCATAACTAACTGGGTTCCAACAACAACTTTCAGCTATCTTGAAGTCAGGACTTAGAGCATTACAAGAGCCCTGTGCATGCTGCCTGATCTTGGGCAAATAACTTAACTTCCCAGGACCTCGTTTCCTCATCTGTGAAAAGAGGTTAATAAAAGTACCTTATATTGGATTCTACCAAAGATTAGTAGTTGGCATAAAAGCTCAGTAAATAAAAACTTTAAGACTCATCTAGCCTAATAAACTTTTTCTTTTCAATAGCAGAATCTTTTCCCTATCCAACCAAAATCTTAAAAAGCCTATTCCCTTCATTTTAAAGACACAGAAGATAAGATGCAGAGTTAGTGGCTTATCATAAGTCAAATGTCAAAACTGAAAAGATAACTCAAGTTTCTTGACTCCAAACCTAGTATTTCTCAGGATACATTTATGTGTCTAAGACATATCTATGGAACCATTTGGAAAATAATTGCTCTGGTCTTTCATTTGATAATTAGTTCTAGACAAAACAGCCAGGTTACACCATCAAGGACTAGTCCAGTCAAACATGCTTTGCTCCACCTTCATCAGAAAAACAGCAAATAATCCCAAAAGCAAATTTATAGAATCAGTTATAGTGCAACTCTAGTCAGTCAATACTCATTCAGTCTTATTCTCATTATCATCTATAGTAATCATTTTTATGTATATAAGTTATCAATAATAGTTATTAATGAAGCTAATCAAGCCACAAGGAGTTAGTTCCTTTATGTCTTGTTCACTGTGCTTAACAATCAAGTGTGTAATAATGTTAGAAAATGTTTCATCAGAAAGTTAATTTTTTAGTAATGTAAAAGTTAAAATTAGCTACATGAAACTATTCACAAAAGTTTTCTTTATGGCCATACAGAATAAATAAGGAATTATTACTGTCAGTAGTTAATAAGTATTTGATCTTCAGTAACACTACACAGGAAGTTGTAGCAGTTTTTGCCTTTTCATTACGAAACACATCTAGATGGTTGGTGGATTTCTTAATTTTTTTTTTTTTTTTTTTTTTTTTGAGACAGCACCCCATTCTAGTACTCAGGCTGGAGTGCAGTGAGGTGATTTCAGTTCACTGTAACCTCTGCCTCCTGGGCTCAAGTGATCCTCCTGTCTCAGCCTCCTGAGTAGCTGGACTACAGGAGTGTGCCACCATGCCCAGGCTAACTTTTGTATTTAGTGTAGAGGCAAGCTCTTGTTATGTTGCTCAGGTTGGTCTTGAAATCCTGAACTCAAGCCATCTGCCTGCCTCAGCTTCCCAAAGTGCTGGGATTACAGGTGTGAACCACCATGCCCGGCAGGATTTCTTAACAATTCTAATAACCTGGTAGACAATTTTGGACACTGACCTTGCCACACAACCATGGGTTACTAGTTTCATTTCTTTTCTTTTCTTTTTTTTGAGATACAGTTTCGCTCCTGTTGCCCAAGCTGGAGTGCAACGGCCTGATCTTGGCTCACTGCAACCTCCACTTCCCAGGTTCAAGTGACGTTCATGTCTCAGCCTTCCAAGTAGCTGGGATTATAGGGGCGCACCACCATGCCCAGTTAATTTCTGTATTTTTAGTAGAGACAGGGTTTCACCATGTTGGCCAGGCTGGTCTCGAACTCCTGACCTCAAGTGATCTGCCCACCACAGCCTCCCAAAGTGCTGGGATTACAGGCATGAGACACTGCGCCTGGCCCACTAGCTTCTTTAAATCATCATTATTTTTGGTGAGCCATCATTAAGGTGTACTATGGTGAACTTCATTAAGTTATATATGTACACAGTTCAACCCACAAATTATAGGCTCTTGGAAGCCTGCTGTCTTTTGGGAGGGCTGAATCAACCTAGTGCCAGTTGCTGGGACAATCACCTGAGACCAGTCTCTGTTTAGTGAATCCTGAAGCTTTCATCAGTTTAGCACCATATGTAATTAACTTTTAACATTTATGAAGAGAGAAAAGGGGAGAAAAGCACTTATATTCACTATAAAGTGATTCGAGGACAGTATAGATTCTGATTACATGTAAGAAAGGCCAGATACAATCATGTTCCTATCTTCAGAATCAAGAATTTCTCTCTGTCTGTCTCTCTCAGGAACAAGAATTTCTCTCTCTCACACACACACACATTCTCTCTGCCTCTCTCTCTTTATGCAAGAAAGAAATGGAGAAAAATGGCTAATCCATCTATATTTTATTTTAGTTACATTCAACAAACTAGGTCTCACATTTTTAGACATTCTGAAAATGTCAGATCATATCCCAGCACAGCGTAATAGTGCCATGGAAACAAAAGAAAACCAATTCCTTTGTCATTCTTTTAGCTCAGAAATCACAGCTGATCATCAACATCAGAGTCTTTTTTAGTTAGGAGCAACAGGATAGTTTTATGGAATGAACACTGGATCTGGAATGAGAAGATCCACATCCTAAATCCTTGCTGAATCAAAGTATACATTGCTTAGTATATAGTTAGCACACAAATACATGTTTTCTTCCTTCCTACCTACAACTAGAGACACAGCATAATATAGGTGAAGTCACTGAGGTATTCATGA